CCTAGCTAAGCCCCTTCAATGCTTCCTCATCACCCCTCATTACTTCGACCAAATAAAATTCAAATGCAATTTAGATTCCCAATCATTCATGAAAATTACATTCGCTATGGTCACCAACGTTCCCAGATTTCCAGGATCCTTTTCAATTTGACTTGACTTTTCTGCAATACTGGCTCCAGATAATCACTTCTTCTGTCTTAAAACTGTCACTTTCCCAAGCTTTCATGACATCACTGTACTGTTTCTCCTCCTACCTCTCTAAATTAAGTACATCCTTTGCAGATTTTTCTTCCTTTGACTGCCAGCTAAATTCTGATCTTTGCTAAGGATTGCATTCTTGGTCCCCTGTTTCTTTTTAAATAGCTGCTCTCTCTGAAAAATCTGACCCACACTCATGAATGTAGTCATCACAGAACCACTCACCAATCTACATCTCTAGGACCCCTCATTTAAATTCCATCACCTCACAAATAGCTGTCTTCCTCATATCTCCTAAGATTGTCCCATGTCATCTCAAGTGCAACATGTCCACCCTAAACCTGCTGCTCCTCTTCCTGTAGTGTGCCACACCTAAGTTAACAGTATCCTTCACTTGTTTCAGTCAAAACTTGGCAAATCCCAACACTCACAGAACTTATTTCTGTGGGAAAGAAAGATTTATTTATTTATTTATTTAATAAATATGCAAAGAAATAAACAGATGTAATAAATAAATATGCAAAGAAATAAAAATTTTAAATAATGATAAATGATATGAAGAAAATAAAATGGCAAAGTGATGAGAAAATAAAATGATCAAGAAGGTCTCTTAGAAAAAGTGATCTTTGAGGTGAGATCTGAACGATGAGAAACAGGTAAGATCTCAGGTAAGAGAGCTTCAGGCAGAGGGAGCAACAGGTGTAAAGCTGCTCCTTCCAAAAGTAGGAACCAGCGGGGAATGTTCAAGAAACAGAGAGCAAGCCTGTGTGGCTGGAGCACAGGACAGGAGGAGGGAGGTCAGAGATGAGGTCAGAGTTAAGAAGGAATTAAACACTTAGGCATGGTGCCTTCTTTATTTCACCCCTTGATTTCCAAAGTATATTTGATGCTTCATATATATTATGCTCTTGCACCTCCTGCCTTTGCCAGTGATCTACTCTTCCTACTTAGGAAACTCCTATTCATCCTTCAAGACTTGGCTCAAATGCCTCCATGAAGCCTTGCCTAACTCCCCCTTCTAGGCTATTCAGTCTCCCCCTCTAGCTCCTTCACTACCAGGTACAAAGCAGTTCTATAGGGCAGACATTTATCAGGATGCACCCCAACTTATCTATATACACATACATCTATATTTACCACTGGACTGTGAGCCTCGTGAGGGCACAATCTCTTCACTTTCAGATTCTCACTGCATAGCTCAGTACCAAGAGGTATTTGATAAACGAACAAATTTTGTTCTACCAACAGCGACTAACAGACTGTGTTTGATAGAAATGAAATCTATTAATATATGATTCTTTGGAGCCAATCTACAATAGCAGCTACTTACACATTTAAATCTGATTCTAAACCACTGATTCAACAAACATTTATGTACCAATTTGTGCCAGGAGCTGGGGACACAACTGTGAACAGAGAGACATGTCAAGCAAATAATCAATTACTCAATTGCTTATGTACAGCAAGAAAAAGTCCTATAAAGGATAAATACAGGGTGCCAGGAGCATATTTAACAGGGAGACCCTGCCTAGTCCGGGAGTCAGGAAAGGCTTCTTTGAGAAGTAACAATGGAACTGAGCTCTAAAGGATGAATAGGAACAATCAAAAAGGGTGAATATTCTCCCCAAAATGTATATGTTCAAATTGTCCAAGGCAGGATGAAGCATGATGTATTTAAGGCTAGTATAGCTGAAGAAAGACAGGATCACAAGATGAAAGTAGCATCATTAATTCATAATACAGTAGATTGGGTTTATTTTATCTCTGTCAACAATAAAAGGAGAAATGGAGGAAAAACATGAAAGGCAATGCTGTAAATGAATTGCCTTAAACCTCTCTAAAATACTATCATTCTATGGCTCTTAAAATGTTTTATGTCATAAGTAATTGGTAAGAACTATTAATACAAGTATCAAGTACTATAAAAATATATCTTTGGTGCTGTGGGAACACAATAATTTATGTACTTGTATTATGAGACTGTAAATTCCTTGAGGGCTGGTATTCTTATTCATCTTTATATTCAGTCCAGCAGCCAACACCCTCTAAGTCTTCAAACAGTTACTGAGTGAATGCTAGTTCATGTGACTCATAGTTTACGTTACTAATTGGCACACACCCGGTTCTAAGGTTAGTTGGCAGAAGCCTCTCTGAGAGAAACAGAGATTGAAGAAACAAAATATGTCATGATCTTTTTTTAGAACAAAAGGAATTTAAAATACCAAAATGGAGAAGATATCATTGAGAGTTATTTTGGAAGATAGACTAAAAACACTGTATTAAATATAGTGAAGGAAAATTAACCTGAAGAATAGGAAGAAAACTCAAGAACTGAAAAAAGTTAATAAAAACCAAGTTTCCTGGCATCAGAATGTTGCGGGCGGGGGTGGGGGGGAGGAGGGGTGCAGGGCAAGGAGGAAAAACAAAAAGAAATTTCAAAGTTTTAGATTTTCTGACAGCAGCTATAAGGAAAATAACATTTCCATGGCCATGAAGACAGAAATGCACCATGGATACATGGAGAAAAAGAAAATGAGCTGGGAAAAGGAGGTGATGGCTGGGACTAGAATAAACAATAGATTGTTCCACAAGGTCCAGTCTGTCTCTATTTTTCTCTCAAAAATGAGCAAGGAGTACTTCCTTCTGGCTCAGAAATGTTCCCACTCCTATAATGTATCTTAGCTGTTTGGCATGAAAAATCTGCTAGCCTTATAGGCTACAATAGCTTACCAGGGGCCAGGGAGAAGAAAAGGCTCCATTATTTTAAGTAAAAGAAGTACGAAGCCTCCTGTGCCTCCTTTTTTTTTTATTTGAAAATATCCAGTATTTCAGTGCCTCTGAGCAAAATTTCAAAACACTTGAAAGAATACAAACATTTCAAGAAAGGACAGCCAAAAAGAAAAAAATCACAATTAATTGTCTTAGAAAGAAATCTTATCCTTCTACAACAGCAACACTAGAAAGGGAAGTGAACTATCTTGGAATCTGACTCTTCTATTTCTCCTGAAAGTGAGAGATGGTCCTCCTGTCACAAAAAAACATTGCTTCCTAATCCTTTGTTCTTTGTGTCATGAATGACCTGATATCTGGGTTCTGATGAAAGCAATTTCATGGCCAATAACCTAATCTCCAAATCTAACCAAACATGATACTTCCAATCAGTTGTTTCCCTAGGAACACTCTCCTGCCTCTACTTCCAGACCATCTACTTCCCAGATTCACTTCAGTCTTGTTTTGCCAGCTTTTTGCTCCCAAATTTTTTTAATTTGGCAGGGGGCTCATTGTCCAGATCCTCAGTCTTCTTCTTTTCTATCCGTATAATCCCTACAAGAGAACACATCTACTTCTCCAGACTTTGCCTATGTCAACTGTTCTCAACTAGGAGTGATTCTACCCCCTGCATCATGGGGGCATTTAGCAATGTCTGGAGACATTTTTGGTTGTCAAAACTAGGAGAGTGAGATGCAATCTAGTGGATAGAGGCCAGGATACTGCTAAACATCCTACAATGTCCAGGACAGCTCTCAACAACAGAGAATCACTTGGCCCAAAATGTCAAAAGCATCACTGTTTAGAAACTCTAATCTACATAGATGATTTTTAATTTGCTATGCCCAAGCCACTGGGTGGGGACTTGGGGGGAGATTTGGGGGGAATATAGATGCAGGGATTAATCTGAGATGCATTATACCCTGAAAAAAAGAACTTCTATCTAAAGAAAATGAGCTATGCCTCAGTTTAAACCAGACCAATATTCTAACCACCTTTGAGATAATATCTCCACGTTCACATGTCTCAAGCCAAATACTTTATCATGTTCCCTTCTATCAACCTTCATCATCACCTAACTCATTCCTTCTCTTATAGTCTATATAATTTCTATCTTATCCTCCTGAACACCAACCCAGAAAAATTAGTAAATTTAAACTTCTTCCTCTTCCCTAATACTGAATTAAAGGCTAAGTTCTTGTGAAATCACTTTCATTATATTTCTTAAACCTATCCCTATGCCCTGCACTAACCACTATTCTTCCCCACTGCCCCAAGTTCAAGATGCCCTTTGGAGTCTAGTGCTTTGTAACAGACATTTTACGGTGTTTTGTTATTGTTTTTAAAGTAAGAAACACACATTGAAGGCAAATGGAGTATTGGAAAGAGCATATGCTTCAGAGTAAAAAGATAATTTGGAATTTTGGCTCTATTTATTAACTGAGTGACCTTGAACAACTTATTTTTCTGAGTCTCAGTTTCTTTCTCTGTAAAAATAGACATAATACTGAAATAACAGGTTTCCTTGTAAGGATAATGGAATCTGAAGTACTGTTATAGGTATTCGCTATATGGTAGCTATTAGGATAGTATAGTTGTGATTAATCTACATGTAGCTCTTATGCTATATGTACTTAAATGTTAAATTTGGGGTAGACTGAAAATATATACCATAATTATATTGTGTTTCTGAAATTTGTTAGGTTGCCCTGAATCTTTTTAAGTATAAACTAATTTTTTAGGTCTTCAATCCAGGTTTATTTGAAAAACTAACTCACACCAAAAGAAAGAAATGGAGAATTTTTGGAACAGCAACAGTTTTTTTTATGGTTATTATTTTATATAAATCAAGCCCAGATGACATGTACAGAACATATTTTAATAAGCCAGAATGTAGGCCTACTTTCATCTCTCTTAACCAAGCAAAATTGTTCTTAATTCACAAATTTAAAATTCTCCAAACAGGTTTCACAGCAGTGTATTCACTGTTGTATGAACCCAGCAATAGAGTGCTTACCACACAATGCACTTACTTGTTCCATGTAATGAAAGTTGCTCTCTGTGTTGAAATGCCAAGGCCAACAATTTGATTCATCTCTATTCCTGCAGCTAAAGTTAAAGATAGATGCAACACATGTTTAAAAGCCAGTGAAGTTTTTTATCATAGTATGGAAAAGGAATCACTAAATATAATCTTTATGAAAATCATCTGGGTTTAGCATTTTAATAACACAATTGGAACTAATAAAGAAAGCATTATTAAGATGATTTTGTATTATTTTTTTATTTAAAGGGAAAAAAGTTTATTTCCTGATAATAACAAAATGGTCTTTTTTGCTTTGACTGTTAGAAAAAACACTGCTTACAATCAGATTGTATTTTCTTCCTGATAATACTAAAAAATTAGATCTTAATTTAAGCAATGACTAACCATAATAGAATCTGGTAGATGGTAATAAAGGAAAATCTCCAGGGAAAGTAGTATAATTATTGAAGCTCAGACTTTATTTTCCATACAAACAGATGCTAGGATGCAAATAAAAACGTAGTTTTTTTTAAAAAAAATCCAAATTTCTTAAAATATAGCAACTCAGGTGTTTTTTGTGATGTTCTTTTAAAAAAAGCATTTTACCTTGCTAGGCAAATTAGGGACGACTTTAATTTGAGCACTGAGAAAAACAAATCACCCCCTATACTCTTCTCTTTTCAAAAATATTTAACCTGAATCTAATCAGAAGGAAATAATCAGACAACCCCAAAATGCAGGACAGTCTACCAAATTTGTCTTTAATTTGAAAACTGTCGATGTCACAAAGAACATGCTCTAGATTAAAGGAGATTATACTGACTGACTGCTAAATGAAAGGTCTCATCTTTGGTTGGATTCTGGATCGAAAAAAAAAAGGTCTTAATGACTGAAATAATGGGGGATATTGAAGAGTAAGTATTAGAAAATTTTACCATATTAATGTTATATTTCTACGTGATAACTGAATTGTGGTGAATAGAAGAATACTCCTTTTCTTTGGAAATAATGCTGAAATATTTAGGGATAACAGCTTATTAAATCATAACCAATCCTCAAATGGATCAGCCAAAAAAGTTTATAGAGAATGGTACAGTAAACATTGTAAAACATGTCTGAATCTCAGAGAAAGGTATACAGGTATCCTATGCACTATTCCTGAAAAAAATTTTCTAGGCTTTTAAATATTTCAAACCAAAAAGGTGAGAAGAAGTAATTCAGCCAGAAAAATAAAGTAAAAGACCTTTTAGAATTTACATTAACAATATTCTTAAAGGTTACAGCAAAAACGTTCTTAAAGAGCTAAGATTTCAGACTATAGCTGCAGTCAGGAAAGCACTTTGCGTCAAAGAAAAAAAAAATAAAACATAAACTTATTTCATAATAAAGGTTACTCAGTTGTAATTTCTGTCCATAGGAACTGTGTGTTTTAATTTTGTTTATAACCCACTGACATTTTGTACCTAACAGGAAATCAAATAGGCACTAGCTATAACCTGGAATGAACAAGAAAGCTGAACCTTTATACTGTGGCTGAAAAATACTTAAAGCAGAGGACAGAGTAACTGTTACCTTTCCTTGACAAAGTGGTTCACTGTAAACTGTACATGTCCCCTGAAAATTACTGAGAAACTGTTGTGAAAGAAAAACAGCAAAACCGAATTGATATTGTCAAGAGAGCCATTTAAAATGGAGCCAGAAAGCCTCTAGAAAGCTGAGCTAACTCACCCCTTCCACATGAAACTGAACTTTTGAACTGGGCTAAACCAAACGGCTACATCCTGATATAGTTCCTGGAACTGGCTCTGCATCACTGAACTCTATTAAAAAATAAATTTTTTACCTAGTAACAGACATAAACAACTAATCACATATAGCATAGTGTAAGTCTGCTTGCCAGGACCAATCACAGCTCTGTCAAAGCAACTGGCATAACACCTTTGTAAGGCTCCCTTTTCCTGTCACAAACTCTGTCCCTTTCTCTCACGCTCAGAATATAGTTGGAGTTTCTAACCAAATCAATGTTTCCAAATTGTAATTCTTAAAAGACTCCCAAATAAAGCCTTTGTTTACCGTCTCATTCTTGGTCAAAATTAATTGACACTGTGACCGCAATAAAATGTTATATGTATAATTATATTTAGGAAACCCACAAAATTCTATAGATGCCTGAGGAAAACTCTTATTGCAAACAAAACATACTTTACTATTTTTATTTTTATAAATTCAATTACCTTTGACAGATTCTTTTATTACAGCAACAAATTGAAGCCAGAGAACATCAGGATCAATTTCAACCCAGCCAAATTGAGGATAAAGACTCTCTATCTATGGAAAATATAAGATTTAGTAAAAACAATATTAGATCAAGTTAATAGTATCTGGGTCTTAAGATTGCTGGTTAAAGTCATTAACAACATGATTTTATTTAATTACCTAATTCTTTTTATTGTTAAAGTGGAAAAATAATACATATATGAAATAAAAAAGGACAATATACTAACCAGTTTTCTTTAGTTCATGAGTTTACAAAAGATTTTGGCTTTATTTTCCAAGTTTTCTACACTGAAGATGTGTTATTTTTGTAATAAGAAAAAGTCAGACTTTTAATATACAAAAATTAACAAAGCACCAAGTTCTGTTTCAGACTACAGAGGAGCAAGCACACTCTATTCTATCTCTCCCACTTAATACAAATATAAAACCTGGAAGGAATACATGAAGCAGCTATTTGTGGACTCAGAAAAGTATATGGAGGCAGGACGAGTAGGTTAGAAGATAAGAATTCAAGTACCCCTGAACTGGTGGTAATTTTCCCATTTTTCTTCTGGTATTACCTGGCCTGGGCTCAAGGCAGCCTGAAAACCAAAAGTGGGTAACAGGATGAAGTGGAAACCCCAGGAGATGCTCTCTTCTTTTGGCTACCACTCAGAGGGAATGGGAAAAATTTCCCATTTTTTCCACCCCTACCCCTTGCCTCCATATTTTTGTACCCAGTCTATCCCATAGTGGTGGCTGCAGCAGTAAGCACAAGCACCTAAAATATAAAGGGAGGTAAAACTTCCTCTCCAGTCAGAGGAATTGTGAATCTAAAAATTTAAGGTGAACCTCCATGGCTTTTTTCTCTCTGTGTGCTCTTGATGCCCACCCAGCCCCAGATGTGGGCATAAGAAGTGCCCAGTAGAATAGCATAATGAAAGCTCCAGATTTCTGGCAAAAAGACTCAAAAAGTATCAGGAAGATCTCAGAGAGGGAGGAGGAGCTTGTGAAAGCTACTCCAGAAAGTTGTATATTAACTTCTAGGCTCACCTCTAAGCTGAACATGTGTAAATGCAATCCTAAACAGCATAGCAAAGATGTAAAGAACAGAATTAAGGGAAAGACCACTGCCCAGGTCCTACACTGGCCACTGGGTGGCACATACACAGGGTATATCCAAATAGTACTGTCAAGATCTTGAAAACAGAACTAACATTGAATAACAGAAGGCTAATCAGAATTTGTAGCCTAAACCTAACTGAATTAATTGCCCACTGAAAGACAAATACCAACATTTCTCATAGGATTTCCACAAGACCCAGAGTCTTATACCAGGATATTCAAAATGTCTAGGATATATTCCAAAATTAAAAGTTATATGAAGAACCAGAAAAATCTCAATTCATGTGGAAAAAGATAATCAGTAGAGACCAACTCCAAGGTGACACAAGTATCTGATAAAGGCTTTAAAGTAGCTATTATAACAGTGTATCAAGAAGTGTGAATTATTTTGAAACAAATGGAAAAACAGAAAGTCTCAGCAAAGAAATAGAAGACATGAAGAAAAACAAAATGAAATTTTTAGAATTGAAAATACCATAATTAGGAGAATGAGAGAAATAGAGATGCTGGTCAAAAGGTATAAACTTTCAGTTATAAGATGAATAAGTTTTGAAGACCTAATGTACAACAGCATGGTGACTATAATAGTTAATAATGTATTGCACACTTGAAATGTGCTAAGAGAATTGTACAGTTGAAATTTGCTAAGAGAGTAGTGCTGAAGTGTTCCCAATATGCACAAACACAAATGGTAATCTTGTGAGGTGACGGGTATGTTAATTAGCTTGACTGTAGTAATCATTTCACAATTTATATGTATACCAAACATCACATTGTATACATTAAATATATAGAACTTTTATTTGTCAATCATACTTCAATAAAGCTGGAAAAAATAAATTAGAAAAATAAAAGTATAATAATTAAAATTAAAAAGCATACTGAATGTGCTTAATAGTAGAATAGAGATAGCAGGAGAATGTCAATAAACTTGAAGATAGATCAATAGAAAGCATTTAATATGAACAACAAAGAGAAATAAATGGAGAAAGCCTCAGCGGGGGAAAGAGCAAAAGGCCTACTATTTATGTCATCAGAGTTCCAGAAGAAGAAAAGAAAGAGTTGTATGCAGAAAAAAATTACTTCACAGTAGTAATAGTGCTAAAAACTTCCTTAATTCGGTGGAAGATTTAAAATCTATATACTCCAGAAGCTTAGAAAACTCCTAACAGAATAAGTCCAAAACTTTACCCATCCAGATTCATAATTAAAATAATGAAAAACAAAGAAAATCATTTGAAAGCAGCCAGATACATTGCATATACACATTGTATGCTGTACATGTCTTCAAAACAATGATCTGAATGACTGTAGATTTTCATCAGAACCATGAAGGCCAGAAGTAAGTAGCTCAACATTTTTAAAGTACTAAAAGAACTGTCATCCACAAGTTCCAGTAGGATTTTTTTTTTTTTTTTTTTGTAGATATAGGCATGATGAATTAAGATGCACTGTAAATGTATGGGGGGGAAAGTAAAGTATATTATAAGTAACTTTTTCTTGATTAAATGTTGAGATTATAATTTGGATATGTAGGGTTAAATAAAATATTGTATTAAAATAAAAAAAAAACCACCAATTTCATTACTTGTTCTTTAAAAGCATAACATTAGTTCTTTCATAAGATGGAAGAATCCAAAGTAGCTACCAAGTAACCAATGTCACTCCAACAAATTTAATAAAAAACAAACAAACAAATAAAAAGAACCTAAGGCTTCAGTTTAAAATGATAGCTTGAACATAGGTATTTTATCTCCAGTTGCTCTCAAGACCCAATTAAAATCAACTAAAATAAAAGCATTAAAAAAGTTTATGTAGAAGGACAATGAGAAGAAAGCAAACAGGTTCAGATCAGATTTTAACAAATATTTTTAATATCAACAGTGAGTGGGTGAGTGGTATATGGACAAGTGCATAGGAGAAAACTAATACCTTGCTCCCTGCTCAGATTATACAACATCTCTGCTCAACCTCTGACAGAGATTCTAGGGTAGAATCCAAAAATTAGAGGTACCTTCAGAGGCTGGGATGCCAGATGGGGCTGAACAAAGGGTTGGTTCGAAGTCTTTATAAGCATCCCCAATTCCCCTCTCCAGCCAGATTACTATCCCCCCAAACCCCCAAATAAGACCAGGTAGAAGGTTAGAGGTATACTCTCTGGGAGGTGGGGGTTGAACCAGAGAAGTTCTTTACTTGCAAATACCAGGTACAGCTGAGTGGAGTAAGACATATTACTGAAAATATATGCAGAGATAATCAACCAAAGATCACCATTTAAGGAAAATCCCTAACATGTAAGAAAAAGCCAAAATGTGAGGGGGAAAAAAAGGAACTCTGAAGAAAAAGTGACAATGTGGGCAGCATGAGGGAGATATAGGGTGATATGAAAAAAGAACACAATGAGCTTATTGGAAACAAACAGATCTACCAAAATCTATTCTCCTTCTATCAAATAATATTTCTGTTCTTTCCGCGTAAGACTTTCAAGACCACAGACTGTAATGGCTCGATGGCAATAAACACTTCCTAACCCCCAAAACTCAATGTGACGATCATCATTTCAAGTCTACAAAACTTCAGACTTGACGGTGGCACTCCAGGGTTACTTCCCCCAACTCCACCAACCCAGACAGCTCACCATTCCCAAACATGTCACAACAGTGAAATTAAATCTGCTTCTCTACCAAAGGAAAACCACACAAAAATTAAATCAAGAATATAATCAAATCTAAGAAGAAAATTTGTTTTGTTGCTTAAAAACAAAAGACAACAACCAGAATTTTTAATGTCCATGATTTAATAAACCAGATGCTAAGTAGCAACCTAGGTTAACAAGACTCTCTTTCTCAAAGAACTCAAACTATCTGAAATAAAGGACCAGTTGTTGTTTTTTTAAATTACTAATTCATTGTGAAACAGTTTTAAAAACATAATTAAAATAGACATCTGGTCAAGATGGCAGAGTAAGTAAGCACTGTGCTTACCTCTTCCCACAATCACATCAAAAATACAACTAAATTATAGAACCACCACCCTTGAGAAACACCTGAAGACTAGCTGAACAGAAGTCCCATAACTAAAAATATAAAAAAGAAGCTATGTGAAGACTGGTACAAGAGACAGAGACTTGAAAGGATCTGGTTCCACAACCATGTGGGCAGTTAAAAACCAGGAGGAACCCTCGGAGGAGCAAGGGACCCCAACCCCACACCAGGCTCCCAAGCCCATGTCAGGCTCCCCAGCCCAAGAGCACCAGTGCAGGGAAGAGGAGTCCCCACAACACCTAGCTGTGAAAATGAGTGTCGATTCCATTCATGTAAGAAAGAGAGGATGCTCAGACATCCTCTTAAAGGGCCCAAGCACAGACACACTCATTCTCAAACAGTCGCCCTAAGCTCCAGTGAAGGGACAGCAGCTTGAAAGGCACCAGGGACATGCTAGGGAAAACTAAATTGTCTGGTTTCAGGAGGAGGGCTGGAGGAGTAGCTCCTTCCAGAACGGAAGTGCTGGTTAGCTACACTGTTCCTGTGTTGAACTCTCCTCCCACCAAGGTGGTCTGGCACAGGCAGGTGCCAAATCTGAGATCTCCATTAACCTGGCTAACATTGTTCGCCCTGCACTGTGATTCCATGAGATCCCACTCCACCAGCTCGCTCACCCACCCTGACATCCTCTAGCAGCTCCTCCACAGAAACAGCCTGCTTCAGTTCATCCTGCAGATTTTCTCAAAATCTCTCAAAGATCCACAAACCTCAAATAAGCAACAGTGAGCCTTTGGATGTTTTGTAACTCTTGCTAAGCAGCCCCAAGCCCAGCACAAGAGGTGAATAACTTCAACCTGCATTACAATTCCTTTCCAGTGGCCCCAAGCCTGGCATAAACAGTTTCCAGTCTTTGCCAGGAATACAGCTTCAACTACGTAGCCACAAACCTGGCACAAGTGGCAG